CCGAATACTCATTAAAAATCATGTAGCTTGCCAATCGGGAGTAACACGAAAGATACGGCGCCAATAATTGAATTGCTGTTACGGTAGGCTGTTTCTAAACTTAGATGGTCATTCCTTGATTAAATATAATTGATTTGTATCTTCTACTAGAGCTGATGGTAAGAACTGAAGTGGAAATAAATAATATCTTGTGCAATCTTGAGTAATATAAAATTAGAAATATTTGCATAGAAAAATATTTTCATTCAAAGTTTTTTTAAATATTTGCAATTACTTTATAAGAAGGATTTATTAATAACCGTAATAACTATTTATTATATTACTGATGATTAGAATTCAGTTCTTGACAATTACATTCTAAATTAGAATTTTAAGAATATAATGAAAATATGCTACGCAGAAAAATACATTTTAGTAAAAAAAAATGAGTCAATTTTTTATGTTTAAAAACTTAAATTCTTCTTAAATTCATTAAATTTCCCTCGTTGGTAATTGAATCCAGAATGTTGGGTGTCGTTTATATAATTATTCTTACTTGTCCACAGAACCTGCTGACTTATCTAGCCATTAAGTAGCCGCATATTATTTCTACATAACTATTGAACTTCCATTAATTCGGTCTCTAGAGGATAGTATGTTTATATCATAATTTGACTTTTATAAAAAATGATTATTCTAAATCTTATGTTTCTATAAAAATGTGGATGATACTATCAGCCACTCTTTCAGCCACTTCATAAGCAACAGCTTGTTTAGAAATAAATTATACAGTTAATGTTATAAAATATTTTTGTAAAATTCAAATAAATATCAAAGGAAAGTTCTCAATTTTAGACAATTCGATTTAAACGAAGTTAAAGTAAAGTAGCAGACGATAAAACGCCGAAGATAACAATTTACACTTACAAATATTTTTTTAAAAAACAAAAAAAGAAAGAAATTTAAAAAAAGTTAAAATTTGAATAATATTATCTATAATTTAAAAAATAATAATTTTTCACACAGTATTAATAAATATTTATTACGCATCATTGAGGGAAAAAATTTCATATAATTAATTCTCCGTAAAAATTTATTTGAAGTTTAAGGTTAAAAATAGCTGTGGCAATTCATTGTAACAAAAATCCATAAACCGCATTTGGTGTTATTATCACTCAAAAAAAAAAAAAAAAAAAAAAAAAAAAAAAAAAAAAAAAAGATGCCAAATTTCAAAATGCGAAAATATGTAAATTCGTGTATATCTTAGAAAATTATGAATAAAAAAGTCTAATTTTTTGAAGGTATGCTTAGAAATATACCTACATTAAGATGATGGTAAATATTTTATAAGTTATAATTCAAAATTCTTTTCGAAAAATTTATAAAAATTATTTAAAAATAGAAATTTAAAAACTACAACACAAAAAATGGGTAAATTTTATTTGGAATGAACCTAAATTTCAAAATGTGAAAGGAAAAATCAAAAATGTTTAATAAAAAAGAGATATTAATAAATATTTTCCAAATTCAATTAACATTGAGGAGCTAAAATTTTGAGAGCTAATATTTTAAAAACTACTCGTACGATTTTTTACAAAACTTGGCATTCTGGCATAATTTGAGTCGTAGAATTGAAATATGTAAAAAAATCGGTATGTTATTTCAGAAAAAGTCTGATTTTGTGTCAAAATACCTAATGTTAGAATAGTGCTATATATAAATCTAATATATATAAGTCACACTTTCGAGACATAAAAAACACAATTTGAATTTTGTCAATCGGGCCCAGTAGAACGGGAGATATAGAACTCTCCCTCCCTTTTTTTTAGCAGTGTACACAACCAATATAGAAAATATTACCGTAGCAATAACAAACGCATCATCATCATCTTTTTCATTATTTGTCGGCTTTCTATTTTGCACAACCAAAACCAGCTCAAGGCCTACAGGATTTTATTTGCAAACATCCCTGCCAACCTTCAGCTTCAAAACATTTGCTTTTTCTTCTCATCTAGTGTTCTATTGTCCTAATGGAAGTAACAGAAAATGGTTGAGTTTCTGTAAAGAGACAGACAGATTATTCTGCTTCATATGTTTATTTTATTCCGACGGCTCTAACAAAAGTACATTTGTTAATGGAGGAATGACAGATTATGGACACGAATTGAGTTAAATTTACAATAAATGCATAAAAGCACATATTATGAATGTGAAAGGAAAAGAAAAATATAGTACTTTGTTCTCAGAAACATCGATGATTCATAAAAAAGTGCAATAGAATGAAAGTGAGTGTTGGAAGTAATAATTAATGTTGTTCAATTAATCAGAAAAAGAGGAATTGCTTTCCGAAGTCATACAAATGAAAATGTGAGAAGCCTAACAGATGTTAATGTTGGTCATGGAAATTTCCTGGAAACGATACTATTACTTTCAAAATTAGAAAAAGACATATGAGTGTTATAATGGAACATGCTGATCGTCAATGTAGAGAGAGTAGCATAACATTGTTATCTAAAATGAAGATAGATTATATCATGACTAGCATTAAGAATATCGTGAGATGGTTAAAGTTACTCACTTCAAATTGATACTACTATTGACACAAATCAAATGAACCAATGTTCAGTTGCTATTAGGTATCTTTATAAAGAAAGCATATACGAAAGAGTGATAGACATTTTATCTTGTACAGATTCTACTGGGCTCGGTATATGCAATATGATCATCATCATCTTAGAGAGCATGGACAGTGATGTCAGAAAATGTATCGGAAATTCTACAAATGGTGCATCAAATATGCGCACTGCTTACAATGGTTTTTACTGAATGGTTGAGTGATAAAGCACCTCACCAAATTCATATTTGATCTTACTCCTATACTCTGTATTTAGTACTGGTCAATTCTATGAACAGCATTTTAAAAGGAATTTTTCTTTTTTTCTCTAATAAATAAGTGTGGCAAATTATTTAAAAAATCCTGTCAAAGAATGGATGTTAGGAGAGGAATTGACGATAAAACCAAATTTAGGAAGCTTCATCTCATCAGTAAAACTAGATGGAGTTCAAAATACTACGCCCTAAAACAAATTTTTGGCCCATTGGATTGCAAAGACAATTGTTTATATGTAGAATTAATACTTGCATTCAAAAGTATTGCTTCCAATGAAATACAAAATGCACAGATATGACAAATGGCAAAATCTATTCTGGACAAAATATCAACTTTTAGAATAATTTTTTCTGCTCACATATATTTAAAAATATTTCAATAGACTAAGCCAGTAACGAAATATTTGCAGACTAAAGGATTAGATTACATCTTACCATATAATATGTCTAGGGAGGCTACAAGATCTGAAGCGATTTCTAGAAACTTTGATTTAATATTTAACACATAAAAATTGTTTGCAATGGATAGCAATAATAAACTAGAAAGGCTGAGTTGTATATAATTATAGAAAAAGAACAACCTGCTAGAAGATGCCAAAAAGAGAAGCAAATGGACGATGAATAATCGTCCGACTATAATTTCAATTGCCCTATCAGACAATTCGAAGTTACTGACTTTATGATGGGTAACACCATTCCATCAACGGAAAGTAGGTTTAAAGGGCATAGGAAGTTTTATAACTTCTCGATCCCCAAAACTTTTTGAAGCCATTGTCGCCGAACACTTTTGACTATTTATCTATATTATGTAAGACGCTATGCTGATGTAACAATTGATAATCTTAAGGACGAATATCAAGATCTAGCAAGGAAATGGGAAATACTAAAAAATTTAATTGAAAGCAATTATTGTGAAACCTGATACCAAGTCAGAAGGAGAGTGATCTATCTATTAACGAGCATTCATTCAAAGCTAAATGCAATTTTAAAAATTGCATTTATCTTTGGATAAAAATAGCTTGTGTGTATAAAAATTACTCTTGAAATATAATTTATATAGTAACGCCAATATTGTTTTTGCTTATAATGTTTTTACTTTTTTGCTTATAAATTTGTTTGAATACGAACAAGCTTGTTCAAAATTAAAAATTGTAAAAAGTAGATTAAGGAGTACTATGAAGAAAGCTAATTTGTAGTTCGCCAGATAGGATAGATCGTCAATCCATATTGAAGAGGCCGAATTCTGATTGCGTAGTATGAATATGTTGAGTTTGCAATATCTAAAAAACTTGGCAGTCTAGGCAGTTTTAATTCCATTTTTATTTTCAGTTGACATATGTGGCCACAATCACTTGGCATTTTAGTTGTGCCTATTCATAGAACATTTACATTTTTGATTTTTGCGATAGGAAGAAACTACAGAGAACTTGCATCCTAGCAGCATACAGAGAGAAGTTGAAGTGTGTAGCTATGCAATATAGAAGCACACAAACAGAAAGGTTTTGGTTTGAGTTAAAAGTTTCAGTTCCCAATTACTAAGTCATCAGTGCTGCGCATGCCATGCAAAAAGAAATGATCTAGAAATGATGCAATCTAGAGAAGTTATTACAATTTTTTAATTAAAGAATTTATCATTTGTTTAAATTATAATCGTGATTCATATCTCTTTTATCTTACATATATATATTTATAATAAGAAAACTTTCTATATACCATCTCCAAGGGACACAAATTCAATCTGAAACCATGAATTAAAATTTTTTTTTTACTAGAATTTAAATTTTAAGATACAAGGGGTAATTATCATGTGCATCAAATATGTAAGTTCATTTAAAAGTACTGAACAATCTTCAAAATCTTACACTTTGACTATTTTTTTAAAAATGTGTATAAAATTATGTTCAAAGAACTGTCTGACAGTTTACATTAAAAATAACAGAAATTCAATTTTTTAAAAATGTGTTTTATATTTATAAAAATGCTTTAGCTTTACATTTCTATTTAGTATTTCGACAACTACTTTGAAAAAGTTATTTAATATATAAACCCTGAACTTGTAAAGGCATTTTTAAGCACATAATTTGAAGTACAATGTTCTGCTTTTCAGTATATCATCTTGTTTTATAATTTACCTGTAAGGGCTAAAGAATGATCAGCTCCACCACTTAACATTTTGATAGTAACTCCTTCAAGGCCTTGTACTCGAATAGGTGATGTATGCACAGGTTGTTCATCAGCTGACCCCAGCTGACCTTCACTATTAGATCCAAAAGCATATACATGTCCACCATCTGTTGTTCCAGTAACAAATACATATGATATAAAAATACGAATAAAGCTCATAGCTCATAAAACCAACACAAGGGAAAAATTACAAAATGAATATAATACACATAATTTATCAAATAAAAACATCAAGGAATGCATTATTATACTAAATTTATTTCTAGCAAATGACAAGAAAAATGGTCTTTACATACTTTCCTCTTCATAATTTTATTAGCAATACAACAAAAATATTTTGAATTAATCTAATTTACAGTTTTATGGGTAGTTTATTAAAGCTAATCGAAAAGTCTAATGTTGGACCAAAATTTCTGGAATACAGTTCTCCGCTGCTATATTAAACTAATACATGGATTTGTTTGTATTATTTTAATTATATAGGTAAACAATTTTTAAAAAAATTGTTAACCTTAGATTTGAAATTGGTGTAAGTGTCTCAGAAGATACTATTATTTAGAATCCATTTGCAATATAAATTCCAATAATTTTTAAATTATTAAGTCCAATTTATTGTTACCTCTTTTATCTGGTTGATTTACAAATGCAAAGGATAAAATACCATATAGTACCACGGGATTTCAAGGAATCTGATTAACAGACTGCTTCACTTTGAATATTAAACATAAATGTTTAATTTAACCATAGCTATAAATGAACATTGCTTATAAAATGCACCTATCTGTTCCATTATAACACAATGAATGTATATATATATGTGTGTGTGTGTGTGTGTGTGTGTAACGAAACCATTATGTGCATATATTTCATATCCAGTGACTGCTATTATTAAGTTTAAAAACAAAAAACGCATTTCAACTTTTACAATGTATTTAAAAGAAATTTTTAAGCTTGGTCATAAATATTAAGTTTTCTCTTCTCCTTTTTAAAATTTCTTGTATCCACAAGTATTGATATAAAATTTTAATCTAAGTTAAAATGAAATTTATTTCCTTGTTTAAAATACCTATATTAAGCTAACCATTTAGAATTTCTTCGCAAGAAAAATCTGTTTGTTAAGAACTCGAGAATTTTATTAACATTTTTCTCAATTGTTAATTTACTTATTATTTCATATGAAGGAGTAATTTGGGTACTATCGCATTACCTGCTCGATCATCACAAGAATCAGTAGGAAAAGTACTATGTCACCAAAGTAGGTAACCCAGAAAATGACTAGCCATTAAGTAGCCGCATGTACTTTACCTGACAATTGACTAATTAATTCATGCAGTTTTGGAATTCAAGGACTGTGTTGTAGTTTCTGTTTGTGATTAGTGTGTGCAGCCTTCCCCCCCCCTGCTGCTCTGGAGTTTGCCTGCTAATGAAAAGAAAGTGTTGTATGTTCTCAGAAATATTGTGTTCTGCTTAGTAGTAAAAAATGCAGGAATGCATATCCCATGAAGCTATACAGTCAAAAGTCATTAATTCGGACACCCATAATTCGAAATGATCTATAATCCGGACCTCAAAGCTACAAACTATCTGCGCATATGTCGCGTTGACGCATGCGCGTAAGACCTTTACGGCTGTGAATATGCGTGTGCGCGTGCGCAAAATACGTTTACAAATGCGTGTTTAATGTATAACGGACGGTATAAGCTAAGCTAAAATTATCTAATAACTGAATTAAGAAAATTCAGTTAATGTTGCAGATTGCGTTGTTCCTTAATCTTCGAATTGGATTCGGCTTATTATTTTTTGCAGATTGTTAGAGCAATTTTATAAAAGTAAGCTTGAACTTTCGATTGTGTCAAATAGAATTTCTGATATATATTTACTAATATGTAAAGGATCTACAAAGCGAAAGTATGTTTCGAAATTCATTAAACAAAAAGTGGAATTGCTGCAAAAAATGGATAAAGGCATATCCTTTGTTTATCTAAACTTTGTTTATCTTTAACGTCGCGGTGCGCAATGAATTGGAAGTTGATCTGTCAGCACTATCCTTATCTTCAGGGCAGATGTTTTTATTTTATTTGGCTTATAATTCCTTACTAAATGTAGTATTTCATCTCCAAGTACTCTGTCTTTGATATGATTTAAATCAAATTCCTCATCATTATAATTCGCTTCCGATAGTGAAGAAAGTAACAGAGGTTATTGAAAACGAAAAAATTTCGATTGACAAATTAGTCGGTATTCTCGACACAGCAATTATAGGACTTGAACAGTGGAACTTTGTAACTGAACAAGAAATTATGTCTGTTTGTAGAATTAAAGAGAATGTATTATCACATAAAAAATGAAGCAACTTAAACAACTTACATTGAAAGAAATGTTTAATAAAGTAAACAAATAAACATTAAGCTTTTTTTTTTTTTTTTTTTTTTTTTTTTTTGTAAATTTTGATACCCTTTAGATCATAATTGTTCTTTATTTCATAAATTACGGTTTCATATTTTTAATTTTATAATTTCTGCATGCCATCTTACCAGATTTAAACTGATGATATATAATCCAGAAAAATCGATAATCCGGAATCGCCGAAGTCCCGACGAGTGCGGATTAATGACTTTTGACTGTATTTTGCAAACAATTGAACTATCCATATTATATTGAGGAATTAATGAGAATTATGAGAAAATGTCAGAAAGAAAAGCAAAAAGATTGTTTTAAGAGATTTTAAAGCAGACAACTGAACAGTACCCACTGGCTATAAAATTGTAAATACAGAAAGTTTGAAATCTGGAATCGTTAGGACTTCAGCGATTTTGGAAATTTCCCGATACTAAACTATCAGTTTAAATCTAGTAAGATAACACATTGGAATTACAAAAGTAAAAATTTAAAGTAGTTGTTTATGAAATATTAACAAACATTAAGAAAATTCACCCAAAAAGCTGAGCATTTTGTTGTTTGTTTTATTAAACATTTTCTTCAACATTAAGCTGGTTAAGTTCAACCATTTGCTTAAGTCACTTCATTTTTTATGTTAATACTTTCTCTTTAATTTTACACATTTCTTGTTCAGTTTCATAATTCCATTGCTCTAGTACCGTAACTGTTACATCAAGAATTTCCGCTAAACTATCAACTGAAATTCATTCTAAAAAAACTTTCAATCATTATCTTCACTATCAGTAGTGATATTTTCTGGATTTAAAACCATAGGCCAGATTTTGGCATCTGTTAGTTGACAGCTGAATGGTGCATTATCTTTGCAATGGAAAACTTCAGTTGAATCATTTTCATTTATTATCATTTTGTTCATTTCTTCACAAATTCTATTAACTAGAAATTTTATTTTCAATAGCATTAAAAATTTACATCAAAATAAGGTTATCATTTTGCCTATTTTTAAAATTACACAGTCTTAAGCTTAAATTGTGCTAAGACTGCTTTAGAAGGAAAATACCAAATATGCTTTAACTTTCCAGATCCTGCTAACATCACAAAAATTGGAAACACGTTTTGATATAAATGAAAATTCAAACTTTAATTTTGATAAGATTGCTGTAATAACAATAGCCTGCAAAAATTAATTAGCCGGATCAAATTGAAAAGTTCAGGAAGAACACAATTTGCTATGTTAGGTGAACTGAATCTAATTATTTTTCCTTTCCTTGTTACTCTGTCAATAAAAGAAAACCTGTATAAGTAATAGAAGTATGGTCATGGTTAATATTCATAAATATTAGAAAGCAAAAGAGAAATGCATAGTTACTAAACAAGCTACACCATCTGATGATCTTCCATGCATTGAAAGTAAATAAGTAATTACTTTAATACAAGACTTTACAAAGTTAAACTTACCACCTTATTGCCTCATGTATTTTCCTCAATTTTGTGCTGCTGCTTAGCAAATAGTAATTCAAGGCTCTTGGTTGCTTTTCGAGATCAAATGCTCAGCACTTGGAAGACATACCCTCCAAACTCAGATGCCCGCCCTCCCTCTCCATATGAATTTGCTCATGTTACAGCCAAATCAATTTTTCAAGATGCAATGACTTTTTCAGAGGCAAACGTCCTTCCATTTCCTTTTTTGAATGCCTTGAGGAATCTTCAACCCAAGAGACCCCTTTATGGGATGAACTGAGACAAATGGAAAGCTGACCAAGAAATAGCAACTGAATGAAAGTTTTAATATAAGTATTTAAGTATCTGTCAATGAATGCACTCTCATTAAAGTGACATACAGGAATCTCAACCCAGTCAGGAGAAACATCCCTTTTACCACACACCTGCTTTTTACCCCCCCCCCCAATATTAGTATATTCCTATTTCCTATAATTAAAAAAAAAAAAAAAAAAATGCTGGTGGTATGAATGTCTGGATATCAGATCATTCCGAATATTGGACATCGGGATTGATTTTCATTATTAGTGTTGAAGTAATAAAATGTGTATAAAATAATGAAATAATTGAAGTAATAGAATGCATTTGGCTAGCTTTTATTTCTTTTTGAAGTTACATTATTATAGAAATCTTGCTCAAAAGTAACATATGAACTGTTCTTAGGTGACTGTGATAACTGTTTTCTCTGAATAAAATGGAATTATCTGATTTATTTATTTATTTATTTATTTATTTTTCAAGTTGAAAATTGGTTGATATGTATGTGGACAGCAATGCCAGGTTGCTCAGTGATGCAGAGAATTCAGAAATTCTCTGATATTTCTTTAAAAAACATATTGCCATGAACATAGGACTGGAAACATGGGGCAGAAGAGTGAAAAAAAGAAAGTTAACTGCTATTATGCATGTTTTTTCTTTTTTTTTTTATTTAGTTCATTTGTTACTATTTTACATAATTTTCAATATTTGGTTATACAGGTGCATGTTGTTTTATGTAATCATAAATGTTTTCTTTCTGAATATTTTTAGCATTTTTAATTTAGTTAATATGTTGCTGTTTTATGCATTTTTCAGTGTTTCACTATGGATTTTTTTTGTCTTTTTAATTTCGTTAATTTGTTGCAGTTTTGTGTAATTTTCAATGTGCTGTTATTTTTTAAAAAAGTTACTTTTTTCCCATATTAGGTTGGAAAATTTAGTTGCCAACAGTTAATGACTTTGTGGAAGTGTGGTGCGAATAATGCAATAGTACCATAATTTGTATACTCAGTTCTATTTTCAGGCAGCGTGTCACACATTTTTTGCACTCGTATTTGTATAACAAAAACCTGTAATTTGTCATTAGTTAATTTTGAACTGATATTACACCTATTTTAAATCAATATTTTTACATTTAATGGAATCTTTTAATTGAACTAACTGAGATAGAATCATTTCAGTTTACTTTTTTGATAACCTATGTGCAATATTTTCTAAATTTAAAAGCAGAAATAAATGTGTCTGACTATCGAGCAAAAAATGCATCAAAATGTATTTACATATCTGCATTGAAAGAGGGATATTCCGAACAGCTTTCATGAAATGCTTCCAAATAAGCTAAGTACTGCCAATGCTTGATGAGTAGTAAATATGGAAGCATTTCAGAGACTATAGAGATTTAGTTTCATACCATATTCTAAGATCACTTGTTTACATTGGAAATAATATATTTACTTTTAATGCTGACACAGAGAACAAATTAATTCGAAAAAACAAACTGAAGGAGTTTCATTTGGGTAATTTAGTTAAACGTTTTTTTTTTCCAAGCAGTAATCTGATTATGCAGGGTCTCACCATATGCACAATTAATAATATTTTAGGTACTATTTTGTTTTGAGGGCCGTAAGAAAATTGCAGTGAAAATGTATGCGCAAAAGCGCCAAATCTAGCAAACGCGCCCATTTAACAGCGCGCCAAATCTAGCGTACGCATTGATTTCATATTGCCTAAGTTTATATAGTTCTAATTTCTTAAGGCACCATTGAAATACTAGTTTAATTTTTAAATCCTTTTTTGATATCCTATGGATTTAACAATTTGGGAATTGCCCATGACGAAAAGTCTGCAATAGAATTTTGGGTAAAATGCAGAATCACACAACTGCTTGCCGCGTTTTTAAAAATTCACATACTCGGTATCATGCACATACTCAGTATCCATGTACACATCGACCTATTTTCACTTCAAATAAAAATCCTAGAATTGCACAAAAATGGCACTGCGCACACCCTTGACTTTATCTATGTACACATTGACCTATTTTCACTTAAAAAGTAAAAGAAAATTGACAAAAATCCAATTGTTTTTACCCTTGTAAAAAGCGGCAAACAAATAACTGAGCGATTCTGCACTTTACCGAGATTATTTTCAAAGAAAAGGCATAATTTATTACACAAAATTATGTTTGAACAACGAACGAGATGAAATTATGCTTTAGCGATAAATCGGTAGCGAAATAGCAATGCAGGTATCCATTCAGTTATGTTTAGCAATTTTTATATAAATTATAATAATGATCTGAAATAGTTATTTACTCTTATGCTCCCATTCAGTCATGTTTAGCCTTTTTCATATAAATTTAATAATAAAAAAGTATTATATGAAATTAACCTTTCATCTAAATTAAAATATCAATCTTAGGTAGTTATTTACTATTATACTTCCTTTCTTGCTGCAATTATTAGGGTTGCCATTATTCTTTTTGGCAGCATTGGCATCAACAACAAATTTGGCGATTTTTTATGGCCCTTGAAACTGAATAGTACCATATTTTAATAACGATAAAATATAAAATAACAAAATCAGCATTGACTGAGCAAGCAAAATTTTTACATACACAAACTTCCTCATGAAAAATCTGCTAGTTACAAGAAAGTTTATACATTTCCTGTTTTATCTTTTCACTGATTTAAAAGGTCACTATTGCTTTAAATAGATAGACATAATTAAGACACAATAACACGCCGAATAAATACTAATTCAGAAGTCAAACAACAAAAATCAGCGTTAATTTACAAAATTTTCACAGGACTAGTTTCGATGGTTTTACCGAACCATCATCTTCAGCTGCAAAACCGCAAATGAACAAGATGGGAAATAATGTTTACCGTATATTTACCGTAAACCTTCATCGGTTTGCCTTCCACCACACTTTAAATCATGTCATCCGACTAAACAAAAGTTAGCTTATTTTATTCCTATGTTTTCCGTGCTCTTCAAGTTTGCTCCTCCAAACTAGCCCTTGACGAAGAACTAAATTATTAAAAGCAATAGCTATTGACAGGGGCTTTTCACCCAACATTATTAATCAAGCAGTTAAAAAATTCTCATCTCAACACACTAAAAGCCACACTCTTATTTTAGGAGATTATAAAAATTCTGTTTGTCATTCCCTCTTTCCATCAATTAGCTATAAAGTTGCACATATTTTGCAAGAAATTTAAATTTCGGGTTGTTTACTCTCCCATCAATAAAATTCCAACTTCTATACTCAAGGACCCCATTCCGGATATGAATTCCTGGGGTATTTATAGGATTCCTTGCCAGTGCGGTTTAATTTACATTGCCCAAACTAAGAGAGCCTTAAAATTTCGCGTCAAAGAACATGAGGCATATGTTAGAAAAAAGGAAAACACAGAAGTCTTCTGTTGCTCAACATTGTTGGTCCGAAAATCACACTTTCAATTTTTCTGCTGCCAAAATTATTCAAAAACATCTTCCATTGGAGAACTGGATTTTCTAGAGGCATTTCACATTCATAAAAATCTTTCTGTTCTAGTTAATGATCCTAATTCCAATCCAAATTTGCCTTCGGCTTTTAGAGAAATTATGTTTTAGTTCTGGTTTCGCCAACAGATGGCGCCACTTGCTTATTCTTGTCCAGGCTTTCTTATCTTATCTAAACATTATTTCCCATCTTGTTCATTTGCGGTTTTGCAGCTGAAGATGATGGTTCGGTAAAACCATCGAAACTAGTCCTGTGAAAATTTTGTAAATTAACGCTGATTTTTGTTGTTTGACTTCTGAATTAGATAGACATAAATTATTCAAGAATTAGGGAACAGTACATGTGGAAAATGGCCACATAGATTAAGAAATGCACATAATAAAATTGGCATTAATTAATAAATTAATATTACTATTTATAAGAACAAAAGTACAAAGCAAAGAAAAAGGAATATAAAACAATTCATATGTAAAAAAAAAAGGAAGCATATTTCTATATTTCTGAAGTTTCTAAGAAAACTGCATTATTACAGTAGTAATTTATGAATGTTGCAAAATGAAATCATACTTTATGAAATATTAATAAGACTATTTAAAAATGCTAATTTAAACTATTCATACCTGTAGCAACAAGCGTGTGAGATCGACCACATGCCACAACTGTAGCTCTTTCTCCTTTAAGAACTATACAAATACAAAAAGAAAAGAAAAATACACATTTACAGTAAGCAAAATATTACTTTTTTCAAATGCATACAGCTGTAAATTTTAGAGAAAATGACATCACACTCATGTACTTTGCGAGGAAAAGGATATACACATACTATATAAATATAATGATTAGTAGAAAATGCAGATATTGAAGCACACATAGAAAATCCATAATGAAAGCAAATTCAAATGATATTCCTTTTATTTTAATTTAATATTTGTGGCCACAAATTAACTTGGCCAACTAATCATGCCAGCTCTAGAATATTTACATTTTTGATAATGTGGCAATAAGAAGAGAGCAGCACAGCAACAGTCTAGCTAGATTGGAATGAGGAAGCAACATGTGTTGTGTTCAAGATGAAATTACAATTCAGAGTGATTTATTTCATTTCTGTTACAATGCATTTGATTGGATAAATAGTAATGCTGCAAAATTATTATTGGCTGTTTCAGTTTCACCTTACAGCATCAGCATTATGTAAAAGTCATATGACATGAATTAATATAGAAAGAATCTAGAGTCCAGAAATAGGTATTTCAAACAACTGCTATTTTTAGAATAGAGAGAGAAAATACCCAAATTAAAATGAGGAACAAAGGTGCTATTGCTAATTTAAGTTATAATTTTAATTTACATTATAAGATACTTTCTCCTTCCTTTGTGGTGTAATTAGAAGGATACTCCACATGTATTCGAGAGGAGCAGGGTTTGAGTCCCAGAGAGGGAGGGCACTGAACATTTTTTTCATGTCTCCTACTTCAAAATAATCTAATCACTCTACAACACACTTTTTATTTTGCACATACACATAAACATTATATGATCAAAAGTATCCAAACAGCTTTGGAATAGTGGATTTTGCCAGTGACATCAAGCTTCTAGCTCCCAGAAAAGTATAAAAGAAGCCAGATATATCTCCAATTGTTATTTCAAAGCTATAAAAGTACAATGGTAAGAAAACATGAGTTAGATGGTTTTGAACTCAGAAAAGTTATTGGTTGTCAGCCTTGTGGGGTGTTTCTTCGAGAAATTTCTGTGATGTTAGGAGTTCTGTTCTACTGTACAGAAATGTTATCATGAAATAGAAATGTGTAGGGGCTACAACTGTGCAACAATGATCTGGTAGACCACAATGTCTTGCAGATAGAGAACATACAGCACTGTAGAGAGTTGTGAAAATCAATCGAATGGAATGGGCAGAAAAAAAAAAAAAATTGTCAGAAATTCCTAGATACTTCTCAGTGCAACATCAGTGCAATGATAATTCATCATGAACTTCAAACTCGTTGAAATTTGGTTTTGATGGCAGAGTTGCAGCTTATAAACTAAACACTAGCACCACTAATGCAAAGCACATTTACTTTGGTACAAATATCGACAACACTGGAGCCTTGAAAAATAGTATCATGAGTTATGGAATGATGAATCAAGATACACTATCTGGCAATCCAATGATAGAGTTTGGGTGACAAAATAGCCTGGTGAATGCTTTCTATTTGACAATATTGTGCAAGTGAAATTTAGAGAAAGCCATAATGGTTTAAGCTGTTTTTTTGGGGGGGGGCTGAGTTCTTTGGGTCTTGTGAAAGGAACTCTCAAAACAGAAGCCTATTTGGATATTTTGGACAATTCCGTACAGTTTACATTGTGGCTACAGTTTAGAGAGGGCTCATTCCTTTTTCAACCCGAACATGCTCGCACACTGTCGGTTATGTATTGCACAGCCTGTGCAGAGGTAGTTTGCAGATACAGGGGTTAAGGAATTGGACTCGCCTACTCAAAGTTCAGATTTGAATCCCATAAAACATGTATGGGATGTATCATAATATTCACTATAATTAAGGCTACACTGCCCCCAGTCTGCGATGGAACTGAATAGTGTTCTTTTGCAAGAATAGCATGCAATTTCTGTTGAAACATTTCAAAAACTAACAGGCAACATTCCCCAGAGAGTGGCAGTTGTTATTGCAGCAAATGGTGGTCAAACTTCAATTTTTCATTTATTTGAAGGAGAAATAAAATATAGCATGTGTCAGAAAACTTTCGATCATATAGTGTATATACTGGCTTCCAAAAGTTAGGCATCAACAAAAATAGAAAAGTAAAGCTTTGATTAACACCAAATTGCCTAGAGCAATCATGTTTGTCCATGAAAGAAAACTGGCATTATGAAGAAAGATAAAAGAATATTTAATATATTAATATAGCTATCAAATAATGAATTAAAATGCTGGTCTGTGTCAAACATCTCTGGTGTAAAAACACTTGGAAACAGAAGAGACCACTTAAATAGACTTCACTGAACATATGAGGTAGCCTTAGGCTGCCAAACTGCAGCATATCAAATGCTTCCTTCAGAATCGTGTAAGTACACTTTCAAAAGAATTATATGCAATTCCAAAGACATGATCAACAGTTTGTTAAATGCTATGAAATTAAGATGACAGGTTTTATTTCTGAAACATTTCATTCTTTGATATGATGTGTGGTTATTTCTGAAAGAATTAACCACACATCATATCAAAAAATAATCTACTAATACACAGGGGAGATCACTTTTCCATCTTTTTAAAAGTTTAACAAATCTTACTTTCATTAGATAGTTTAAGATTATTGAACTAGGAAACATGGTAGTTTATACTTAATAATATTTTTGTATAAAGTATTTTTAATAATTTTTCAATAAAAAATAGTAAAGTTTTATTTTTGTCAATATTTTTAAATTTTGACAAGCAGCACTAGTAAATGACATAGAACTGCCAGTGGCCATTAAGATTTCCTTCCAAAGTATACATCTCAGATTTATTACAAACTAAAGGCTCTAATCAGTTCAAAATGTTTACATAGTAACAATGCATACATCTAAATTCTGCAGACTGGTCAGTGAATTCATTTTATAAGTATTTTAATATCAACTTTCTGTGTATTAAAATTATTCAAAAGGTCACTTCCAATTAGTGAGTGCAATGGTATATATACATATGATTTCATTTTACTTATTGGGTGTCTACTGTTATTTGAAATACGGTGAAATACGTTTAACCTGAAAACGCTTAAGACAAAATATCGGTTAACCCTCCGACTGCTCAATTTGTGGACCGAAATCGCTTCCAAAATTGTGTATTTTTTGGGCATATTTTAAATCTATATATATTGGAGAATTGAAAAATACATTTTTTTTATAGAAAATATTTTTTTATATAGATTTTTATCATGAGAAACTAGGTTGCCAGAAAAACCAATTTCAGATTTTATCATAAAAAAAACTTTTTTTAAATAAATTTCATTTGAATTACAGTTAATTTCTATTTATTGCATAAGGTAAAAAAAAGTAAAATGTATAAAATTCAAGAAAATTTAAAGCACCTAGGAAAAAATACCTTATACGTAGTACAGTATGATAGAACAGGTTTGTTGAATCATGATCAGAGTCATCGCTATTTGAGGGGCAGTACGAAAAATTTATATCACCATCACTATCAAAACTAAAATCGCTTTCAGAATCTGATAAGTCATCAGAAATATACTCTCTGTCAATCACTGAAAGTTTTCTAGCAGCCATTTCTGTAAGAAAAAAGTGGCAAAAAGTGAAGTTTGAGCGGTAATACCACGTACCTTCAAATGCCACAATTTAGTGGACAACTAACGATATCTGTTGGCAAAACCGTAAACTAAACGTCTAATACTGTATACAATATATTTCAATGAGTTAAACGGTGATGTGCTCCTCAATGAATGAAGAAAAACACATGCCCGCGGAAATCGCGGATGCGCAGATTTTGCTACATTTGCCTTGCTCGTAGAAATCGCGGAATGAGCAGCCAGAGGGTTAACATGAAATAATATAATGGTCCCAACAAACTACTGTATATTTTCATGAATTTTGTTTCTTTTAACACTAAACAAAAATCGCTTAACACGAAAAGTTATCCTTTCTGGGAATGGACAAAATACGGAAAACATCAGCTTCACAGGGGAGATTTAAGAGGGGTGTGATATGAAAGAGAGATAGTTTCACACGTATTAAAGGAGGCTAACTTGGCTTTGAAATATCCTTGGAATAACCTGCAACATGAGCTAGTTTTGTTTGTCTAAGCTACTTTCACCTTCTACCCCTACAAACGCCATACAAACTTCTCATCTCTCATCAGTCGGCTTTCGAATTCTGTGACGAGTACATTGCAGTGTATGTAAAAATCTGCGAGTTTGGTTCATATGAAGCACTCTGCATGTCTCTGTTTCTTCATATGTTGTACTCTGCATGGAATTCAGCAACTCCAAGTACGAAGGAAAATTGTTTTCGTCATGCATGATTTCCAAAAGTATCAGATTCTTTGGCACCAAAAGAAACGAAGAAGGGGGATATTGAAACTTAGCTGACACCCAATGAAACATTTGAGAAAGTTTCTGTGTTATTGGATTGTCCTACTGTATTATCGAAAAAATTTGTTGCACTAGTTGATGATAATGTGTGTACAGCCCCAATTATGGAAGCTTGTACTTATTGCTACATGATAATCTTCAAGCTTATTGTTTCTCCTAATAATGCTATGTTAACAAAAAGACTACTGCATTAATCAGAGATATGACAGCACCACCCAGAAGCCTTTTAGTTAGAACTTTAGTTCAATAATGATTATAGCAAAACTGTGTGTACTGTTTTAAATGTTTAAAAGAACTGAACTGACAAAATTTTACACATTTTAGATGAAAAGTAGAAAACACACATATACCAGATTATACAAACAGTATCAATTAAGAAAAATTTTGGTATCTCTTTATTATTATAACTTTCATTATTTAAACGGTGCCAATGTATGTCACAAACAGATGCCCAACAGTCACTTATAATCTGCCCGTCATAAGTAGAGCTCCAAATAAGTTTATTGTACACAGATCATAAAGGTGAAATGATAAGTATAAAGTTTAGAGGCTGCATAGTGAAATTCCTTGGGATAAGACAATATTTTTTATATTAAAAGCAATCACAAAAATACGGCAAATACAAACTATATGTAAAAAGGTAAACATGTTCCTACGTAAGTTCTTTACTTTAATGACACTTGCAATAATTTTGATACCAATTCAGTACCAGAACCTTAATAATACAGATACAGTCAAAAGTCTTTAATCTGGAATGATCTATAATCCGGACCTCAAAGCTACAAACTTTCCATGCAAGCGTAAATGCATTGTGCGTTTACGCATGCACCTTTAATGTATGACGAACGGTATAAGCTAAGCTAAAATTATGTAATTATCTATTTCAGTTAATGTTGCAGATTGCGTTGTTCCTTAACCTTCGCATTGGATCCGGCTTATTATTTTTTGCAGACTGTTAGAGCAATTTTATAAAATAAGCTTGAACTTTTGATTATGTCAAAAAGAATTTCCGATTCTGGAGCTGCCAAAGGATCTACAAAGCGAAAGCATGTTTTGATGTCCATCAAACAAAAAGTGGAATTGTTACAAAAAATGGATAAAGGCATATCCTTTGTTTCTCTAACCATTCCGAAATCTGTTTATCAATCTTCAGGGCAGATATTTTTATTTTATTCGGCTTATAATTTCTTACTAAATGTAGTATTTCATCTCGATATACTCCGTTTTTGATATGATTTAAATCAAATTCCTTGTCATTACAAATATCACGAATACATATCAAATAGTTTTCTGGTTGCAATTTTCTAATTTCGACTATGCGTAATGTACGCTTTACGCATGCGCGTTTAATGTATAACGGACGGTATAAGCTAAACTAAAATTATTTAATTAAAATGTAGCTAAAATTATGTTGAAAGAAATGTTTAATAAAGTAAACAAATAAATATTAAGCTTTTTTTTTTGTAAATTTTGATACCCTTTAGATCATAATTGCTCTTTATTTCATAAATTACGGTTTCATATTTTTAATTTTATAATTTCTGCATGCCATCTTACCAGATTTAAATTGACGATTTATAATCCAGAAAAACCGATAATCCGTAATCGCCGAAGTCCGATGAGTCCGGATTAAAGACTTTTGACTGTATACGTACCACAATTTCTTACTTACCTTTGACAAAAGATGGTTTTGTAACTGTTTTTGTATGGCCATGTCCCAGTTGACCCCATTCATTGTTTCCAAATGTGAATAATCTGCCAGATGCTAAAAATTAAAATCACATTCAAATAATAATATAACATAGAGCATTATGCCAGTTAGAATTGAATTAGCATAATTATGTGTGAAATTAATATTACCTTAATTTTTTTAAATGATTATCATTATTTTGCTGAAAACTTAATATTAGAATGTCATTTATATTTATTTTTTAATAAGAAAAATAGATTAATTAGTATACAGTAATCTATTCTTATACAACAAAAGTTGAATAATTCGAAAAGTTGAATTTAATAAATTAGATAATTAGAAGTATGAATTTTCATATTTATGAATCAGATGCAAATAAATGCTAAATTTACCAGCATTGAAAATTAAATGCAAAACAGTGTTTATGAGTTTTTTTTTTCTTTAACGAAAACTGGTGAAAAGTAGGCATTTAAAGATAATTCATCTGATTCGCATAGTGTTCACCATTTAGCATCTTGCTGCATGTTGTTTGGAGCTTTTCTCTCTCTTTTACATGTACTCATTCGTCCCATGAAAATCTTTTCATTCAGGTAGTTCAGTCGTGTTATAAACAGTACAGTAACTATACATGCTTTCTTTATTTTTTGGGGGGGGTGGCTATTGTTTTATATTGTAAAATAGTGATCATACATTTTTATCTGTTCAGGTTGTAATCAAAAGAAGTAACTGACAGAATATTCTTTTTTTTTGGGGGGGGGGGACATTCAAGCCTTTTTTTTTTTTTTTTTTTTTTTTTTTGTGAAATTCTGATTTTTTTTAATACAAAAATAATGTATTTATACAGACAGTACAGATACATTAAAAAATGAAACATATTTTTCTCCAAATCTTTTTGAAATTTTTGGCTGATCTTTGGAATATGGTAACAGGTAGTTTGGCGACATTTTGGAGGCGATAAAGGTTACTACCTAGGACTTTGGTAATAATGTGAGAAGTATTTAGTTCCGATTACGCACTATTTTGTGTGAGGGAAATGAGAGATCATGAGATATGTCATGTGACATTAATGGACGAATTACAGTTCTTTAATCGGAAAAGGGGGGGAATTTGGAAAAACATCTGCAGTACTATAGCTGCATTTTTATTAAGCTTCATTGTGTGTTGTGTGAAATAGTGTTGATTAATTTTCGGATCGCATGGCGCTATCTAAAGTGAATTCTAAAATTTTTAATGCATTTATCTGATAATTCAAAAGAATTGGTTGAATGGTATACGAGTGTAGGATTAATTGCGGATAAGTATGAATGTCCAACATGTGGAAATGAGATTGTGTGAAAGGAAGGATATTACAGATAAGTTTGAATGGCGGTGCAAGAAATCTGGTGAAAATGGACATTTTGTGAAACGGAGTGTAAGGAAGGGTACGTGGTTTGCTGAAAGTAGTTTGAGTATGGGTGAAATTTTATTAATTTCTTATTACTGGGTGAATAGACTGCCAGTTGACTACTGGATTTCAGATTTAGAAATTAGCAGTGGTACTGCAGCCGATTGGAACTCTTTCTGTAGGGAAGTGTGCGTGCCACGTAACGAAGATTCTGAAGAAGATTAGGTAAGTTAGTATTTTTAATCATTTGAGGATATTATTTTTATGCATTGTTCTAAATGTAAGGAGCAAATGAATTAATATGGTATTATTGGAAAATTGTTGTTAGCAATGATTTAGTTTAAAGTAATTAAGATTATAATCTAATTTTTATTAATTTAATGTATGTGCTTATTTATATTAAGTAGTGTTTTTAATTTAATTTAATTTAAATGTATGATCATGATTTTGTGAGTTATATGTCTGTAGTATTATGGAATATGTTTGAGTAGAATACGTTGAGTATTTTCATGCATTTTCGTGAAATTTTTCTAATTTATGAAAAAATCAGTGTTACATGGATATAGTGAAGAGTGTGCGCAATGCCATTTTTGTGTGCAATTCTGGGATGTTTTTTTTAAGTAAAATAAGTCGACGTGTACATGGTTTAGTGATATTTTAATTAAATGTTAGTTATTTTGTGAATTTTATGTTTGTAGCAATTTGGTATACGTTTCAGTTGAAGTAAACGTGTATGGAAATAATTTAAATATTTGACACTAAGTATTTGTAACTATTTTTAATGTTTGCAGTAAAAATTCGTTGGTGATGTTTATAATATAATAGATAATTTAGAGGTAAAAGTTTTTGGATATTTTATTTATTTTATACGTGGAAATGTTCATCCTTGGAAAGGGTATACACTTTTTTGCAATCAGGTAATTTCATATATGTGCTTTTTACCAAGTTTAAAGATTCAGAAAATTTTCCTGCATTTTCGTGCAAATTTTTGTAATTTATGAGAAAATAGCAGTGTAGATGGATAAAGTTAAGAGTGTGTGCAATGCCATTTTTGTGCAATTCTGGGATGTTTTTAAGTAAAAATAAGTCGACGTGTAAATGGTTTATGTGTATGTGCTATTCTGAAAAACGCGCAAGGAGTTTGCGATTGTGCACTTTTTCCCAATTTTGCAGTTAATATTTGTCATGATTAAGCAGTTTTGTTACATAAAATTTCTAGCATAAGTGTAATTTGGCTAGTAGATTGTTGGAAAAAGTGTTGAGTAAATAAAAAGAAAAGAAACATGTCTTTACTTCGTGAAGACAAAACGGCGGCGAAAAAAAAAAAAAAAATAGAGGGTTGCTGTAGCAGATTTGGTCGCCAAATTTTCGCCAAAAAATCACCAAGTTACCATAATCCAAAGATCAACCCAATTTTTTTGTGTTATTCTTCTTCCCAAGTAAACAGCAATCTATTCACACTTAACATAGATATATCAGAATTGCAGACATATGGCATCGCACAAACTCTGGTAACATCAGTTTCTACCAAATGCATCTCCTAGTCATTTCCTTTAGAGATTCTGCATCAAAATTCTGTATTTATATGTGCAGAAATTTTATTGCAAGTTCTACTGCTGATGAATTCCACAAGTGCATATTTTAAAATTAAGTTTAAGGTATAAACTATCACAATTATTTATAAAAGCTGTTGAAATACAACAAAAAGAACACATACGTAAATGGCAAAATTGCTTTACGGAAGGATAGTTATGAACATGGTTGCCTGATGAATCATTAGGCACCTGGTTGCCAGAGTTAAGCACATTCTGAGAATTTAGTGCAGTGGTTAAAATCTGCTAACTACTATTCTTGGTAAGTTTTTATTTTCATAAAAAGTCCTCCAGGAAGTATGGATTTGATTTTAATATACATTGTTAGGTGCTATTTTCAAGACTGTAAATGTATACATTTAATTTTGAAATTGAAATTGTGATACTACAATTTATAACTGTGATTTTTCTCATAAACTGTTTTTGTTTATAAAGAAGAGTATTTTATGATGGTGCCAGTCTTAACACTGGTCAGGTTGACAAATGTATAAACTGATTGTATTTTACTCTGATATACAGTTAATTTTATATGGAGTTCCGAAAAAAGATAGCTATTTTAATTATGCCCTAAAACATTGGTCCTATGTACTCTCTTCCAATTACATAGTTCTGGAAACAGAGAGAATACTTCACATGAGGTTTATAATGTAACCCATATATGAAAGCTTTGATCATTTTAAAATTTTTGCAAGAATTTTATTAATTATTTACAATACTGGATGCAAAGAGCCAATTTATTTTTAGTACTTTAGTTTTTTAATTCGGTAATAGAGATATATTAAAATTTAATCTGATGAAGCTGGTGACATTATGGGCAAGACTGCAGAAAACTGCTTTTGATATGTTTGCCATTCAGCAATGAAGGTATGACATCAATATGATTTCAAATAAGGATAATGGATTTTGTATTGAAGAATGATCTAGTTTAATAACCAGTACTTTGTTTTGGACAACTTTCAAGTCTGCTAGTAAAGAATGTTAAAATTATTACTTTTCCACCCATGAACACTGAAACGTACAGAGTAAAATCCTAGTACACGGTGCAGCCTTGGCACTATTTTGAAAATTATCGCCAACACCAAAAATGACCTAACGAATGTCTATGTATATACTATGCACTATATACTATCACTATATGCATAGCATATACTATGTATAACTATATATATTCTTTGAATACCTGTTTACTACTCATCGTATATGTCCCATTTTTACTGCTCATCATAAAAGTTGCCAAATCCCGTGTGCACCAGATACTAAGATTAAACCACACACAGTATAGGTACTTCTGTATTTTCAATTTCAAGAAACCAAAAACTGTCGCCAAAGATAAATTTTGTTCCAAAAATGGTTAATTATGACCTCCCACTTAGTTACAGAGATACAAACTGGAATTCTATTATATCAAAAGTAAATCCATAACCTTATTAACAAAGATGACAGAATGATAGTTAGGAAATCTAAAAAAGGAAAATATTTTAGAATAAACACAAATTCTGAACAGCAGAAAAAATTAAAAACATGTGAATGAAAATATTTAATAGGCAATTAATAGAGAATCAGGAACTGAACACAAGTCTGAGCTCTAAATAATTGTATCATCCAGGAGTTAACAAAACATTAATTTATGAATGTAATATATTGATGGTATAATTTACTGTTGCAGCACTTAATATTATGATCAAACTTTAAAACATGGGAGATACTTCCAATGAATCAAAATTTACATTTAATGCAGATTATATCAATTGTAAATGAATATTAATCATTTAAGTTAAGAATTATGTACTCATATTATTATTACCTTCTTATACCTTCAGTTCACAATATTAATCTTCTTTAAATTCAAATGTTACAATACATGAAATAGGAAATAAATCTAATAATATACCAGTCAATAATGCAGTATGTTCATCTCCACAAGCAATTTGTAGAATTGGATCATCTTTTATCCAGAATTTCCCAGCAACATTATCAGCAAATCGACTGCGCCCAAATGTAAATGCTGCTCCCCAATCTATATACAAAAAATAATTAGTTATTCAAAAAATTGCTCCATGATTTTCAGAAAAATAGCAATGAGAAATCGCGCAATCTAGGAATAATTCACAAAGTATTGCGATTAAATGTACGCATGTATAATAATAATAAAACTTTTCTGTTTGGGAAAAACATTCAAAATTACATGATATCACCTCTTTTCAAAGGAAATAATAATTCCAGAAGTTTACAGCGATTGTTTATTTACCTGGTACATCGCTGTCCACATCTGCCGCCATTATAATAATGATTACGATTTTGGGTATCGTTTGTATACCAACAAAGCAGTGTATGTTTCAGTTTTATTGTTTTCAATGGGAAGAACGCTGATAAATGGAATGGGCGGAGATTTTATTTATTCTACTCCCAGTGACAACAGTAAAAATGTCTCTGGGGGAGGCTGAATTATTATGTCGGCAATGATTTACCAGATAAATAAATGAATCGTTACCCAGTGTTTTGCTGGTTAACTTGAAATAAATAAATTGTTTTTATGGCTGACTATTTCAGTGTAATTTATTATGAATTCGGGTATGTCAAGTGCAAATCGAAAGAAAATTTCAATTACTATTGTCTGAAATTCTCGTGATCAATAAAAAAATTTGCTTCCTAATTACAGAAGTGGGAAAAATTATGATTACAAGAGAAAGAATCAAAAGGAAAACAAAAGTTCGCCCTGTTTTTATTTTCTTTGATGCATTTAATATCGTCAACATAAAAATTTTGGAAGATTTTCTTTACGTGATCAAGGAAAGTTTAAACGTTTATTCTGAAAGAGTTAACTCCACATTTGTCTGAATTTGTATGGATGGTTAGTGCTAGTTCTGTGTTTTAAAATTTGCGATTATTCTAAGAAAGTGTCTATAAAAAACCGTGTAAAATGGGTAGCTAGGTTGTTAGCTGATGTAAAAAGAAAGTAATAGCCAGGTTAAGCATATTTTTAATATACTTATCAATTTAAAAATATAGCAACTCTAGGTGACAAAAATATTGGGTTGTTCTATAAAGCGGCTCCCAAAAGTGTTCGTATTGTCAGCGAAATATTGCTTTATTCATTAATGAAAATTAATATTTGAGAATAAGTTTTTAATAATATCTATAAATTTCTCCTAGCAAAAATACATTAGTTATTTTATGAACACAGTAAAAGTTTTTTTTTTGGGGGGGGGAGGAAAAACAATATTGAAAAAGTTACAGAAAGGTTGTGTACATGGAAAAAACAAAACAGAAAGGTTGTGTACATGAAAAAAACAAAGTTAAGGGAGTGTGCAGTGCCGAGTTTGTGCAATTCTCTGATGTTTTTTTAAGTGAAAATAGGTTGATGTGTACATGCATAGAGTTTCTGCAGTTCTTGAAAACATGCCAAGTGGTGGGGGATTCTGCACTTTCTCCAGTTACCTCATAAAAGTCTTCACACATTTTATAGAAATCTGGGTTGATCTTTACAATATGGTAACTGGTATTTTGTAGGATATCTTGCAGCATTTATGGCAGCTTTCAAATGTCTTGGCATAGTGTTCACCAGTTTTTTGTAATATATGTATCAATGTTTCTCTTCTTTCCATTTTTTATGTGGTGTCTGCACTCTAAACTCTAATTCTCTGCAAATGTATTCTATCGAATTATAATCTAGTGACTGAGGTGGTGTTTTCAGAACTTATGGACAATTATAGACATACCAAAGGCAAAGATTGAGGGTCATATGTTTAGGATCATTATCCTGATAAAAAATAAAGTTGTTTCCAATACCCAAATTTTGGACAGATAATTTAAAATTATTTTTTAAAATGTTTAAATATAGAGCTTGATTCATTGTGACATCAATAAATACTAAGTTACCTAATCCTGATGCTTACATACACCCCCACAAACAAGGACACCTCCATCCCCATGCTTTAATGTTCCAACTAAGTTCTTGGTTCCTCATTTTTCCTTCTCCATACAATTATATGCCCATTGAAACCAAAAATGTTAAATTTGCTTTCATCTGCAAATAAGATGTGCCAGTATGCTTTGTGCTTATTCACCATTGATTTTGTGAAGGAAAGAATAAGCTTTCTTTTTTTTTTTTTTTTTTTTTTCCTACTTACAAAAGATTTTCTTTAAGCAGAGCACCCATGTAATCTATCTGATCTGAGTACTCATTGAATATTTTCAAGTGAAATTGAAGTAGAAAATTTTTCAGTAAATTCTGTAGAAACCTTTAAGCTACAGTTTAGATTTTTCAGAAATTTTTTAATTATAAATCTTTGGTCACATTGAATTAATTTTCCCGGATGACTTTTTCCTTTATTTTCGAGCCGATTTTCTTCTTTAAAGGATTTTATCACATACTGCTCTGTAGGGTGGGATAATTTAGCAATATTCTGGATGGATTTTACCCTTATGATGAAAAATGATCAATTCTCAAATATTTGTTGTTCCCTTATGATTACGACTCATTTTTGTATATTAAGTAAAATATAACAAAGTAAGGAAGCGAAGGAAAAAAACTAAGTGAATTTTTAAACGTCATCAAAATGCAAAAATAAAGAAAAATTACGAAAATGTTTCAGTGTATGATAACTTGTGTTGTAGCTTGTGAGTGTATGTGGCCTCCTTACATTTTTCAGTTTGAAAAAAAGAAAATAAGTCACTATTAAAAAAAAGTAGTTTTATTCAAAATATCATGGAGATGATATGGAAAAATATTGGGCTTTATATTCAAATAGTGCTTTTTCTACGAATTCTGAAGCAAATTCTATGAAAACTTTCAACAGCCACCGCTTGTTTATAAACAAATAGCTTTTTCAAATTAATAAATCATTATGCAATGAAATAAACTTAAGATATATTAAAATATCCAGAAACTCTCAGATTTTAAATGTAGAAAAGATCAAATATTAAAAAAGAAGGGAGGAATTATTCGTTCTATAAATTTAAGCACAGAATAGTAAATGTTATCAGTTTGATGGAATACGGAGACGTTATTATATTTTGTTTATTGTTATTAAATGAAAACTTCAAATAAGCTGCCACGCAGGTTTACAATAAGTTGCATTTTTTTATATAAATTTTAAAATTTGTTATCTATATGATATTGCTTAAAAAGGGTTTTGTATGTTGTAAAAAATTTAATAACTGAAAAAGCTAAAACATATGTTTATTTTAAGAAATTCACTGAAAGGTGAAAACATAAATTGCTTTAAGATGCAAGTTAGATTAATGTGACAATTTTTTCTTAAGCCATTGTGAGACAAAAGGGCTTGGGGACTTAACATTATTTCAAATACTAAGTTGTTTTTATAGTTTGTGCCACTTATTGCAGATAAATCTTCTAAGACAATCAACTTCTTTATAATTTAAGGTTCTTTCTGACTACTATCAACTAACTGCAAAAAAATGGCAACCCAATATATTGCCAAAAGATACGTATGTAGCTACCCACTTTTCTGGTCACATGTTTGCCAGTGCAGAGGCATAGCTGAGGGGGTGGGACAAAGGGGGACATCTGTTCTGTGGTGCAGCACTGAATATGAAATTTCAGAATTAAATGTTTTCCATTCTTGGCAAGCAGCAGGGAGCATCGAAATCTTTAGTTGTCCCTGGGACTGGAAACCCTACCTACGACTCTGTACCTAAGCCTGCGACTGCAAATTATAATCTCTCCTATGGGAATTCCATTGTATTTCAATTCAATGCACATATCCAAAATTCTCATACAAAGTATATTTTTATTGTTAGAGTGTTTGTAAACTTAAATGGCATTATCTTTTTCGACAAATTACTAGGCAGTTTCTACTGGACTTTGAGATACCGTCTTATCTGTGCTTTTCCCAAAGGTTATAAATCTGTCATGGATGTTTACAAGTAATTTTTTTAACAGTTGGGCTTCAGCATATTTCTCTTGCAAATTTCATTGAATCTTTGTCATGAAAGGATTCTTTGGGGGATATTTCTTCCAAATCATTTTACAGAAAAGCATCATTTCCTTGATAATTTTTTTAGACTTCTACTTTCGGAAAGCTAGTGATGCTATCACTTGAAAGTCTTAAATCTCTTTGTTGGATAAATGGGAATGAGGATGAAAATTATCACAGTTTTGCAAAAAAATTTGTACTCTAATATAATTTGAGACTGTACAGCTTGATAAAGCAAAGCTATCATGAACAGAATGATGTCCCTTTCTTCCTATTATACAGATTCTAATATTTGTGGGGCCTGCAGGCAATGCATATATTAAGATCGAAATGTTTAGTGTTTAAGCTAATAATCGAGAATTAATCAAGTAGCAGTGTAAAAACTTGTTTTTCCAGCCATACAAAATTTGCTTTCAGATTTTTTTTTTTTTTTTAATTTATATTTTATTCCGAGTAATACGGTGGAGTAATTATTCAGCTTTTTCCATAGATAGTTCTTTTAACAGGTGTCGATGGAGACTTACCACCTGATTCACAGCTTCCTTTATCAGAAGCTCATGCAATGTCGGTTTGATTTCCTGACATGTTTGGTCATGCGAGTTTGTGATTTTAACTTGTCAAGACAAGATTTGTTATTTTTTGTTTTTGTAATTGAAAAAAAAAAAAAATTCACAAGTATGACCACTGAGTTTACAAAATTTTCCTGGCCTGATATTATTTGAATTTCTTGCATTTATTGTAGATTTAAATGCCGTTGAACAATTAGAACTTTGATCTGCTTGTTTTTCTAGTCTTCTGCTGCATTTGTCAGCGAGTTTCTTTTTTACAAGATCTGCAGTTCTGAGAGTTTCCTCTCTGACCTTCTAGGGCAGTTATAAGATTGTTGGATGATTTGGGAATTGAAACTAACAAAAGTGCGGTTACATGCTGATCCGGAATGTTCTTTCCGATAGCCTTCAGTCTTTCAAGTAAAGAGTGATGTGTGTGATCAAATCACCATGTTTGGGCATTTTTATTGAATATAATTATCTTAGAAGATATAACTTGCTGCTCAAACTGGTGCATTTGTGATTTACAGTATGCGATCTGTGGACTGCAAGTGGCTCTCGAAAAAAAAATTGAATTAATTGTGAGTAACATGCTATAGCTTGTTTTATCAAATTAACTGTATGTACCACACTTAGAGCAAGAAATTGTAAAACTTTTAATGTTAACCCTTTGCACTTGAGAGCTGGGCCCGACTTAACCTAATTGGGGCCCGGAGGAATTGGGACTTCTTTGGGCCCCCCTCTGCTTCACTTCTTCAGTAATAAACTGAGCTTTATGGACATATTTAAATTTTCACACCTCATTATAGATATATAACAAGAAAATTGACTAGAACTTAAAATAGCTAAAAAGTCACCCCCCTCCAATGGTCAGACGAAATATCGCTCTGTCCATTTTATTCATTTTCTGACAATTCTGTGTCCATCATTTAAAGGATATAGCACATCTGAAGAGCGAAAATTTGACAAAAATTCTATTTAAATTTATAATTAGGAAATGTAAAGCCTTTTTTAGGAATTTGAAATAATTAACGAAAAATACCATATATGCATTTAGAGAATAGGCTAAAAAGCTTTTTTTGATGCATGCCACATTGTCTTCATAACATAAGTGCATCTGGTTCAGCTTCTTGTTTGTCATAGTATTACAAATCCAGTTTGGCCAAATTTGTCCATCGTAATAGCAAAAATGTAGCGGAATTCCACCCTAGAAAGCTATGGATTTACGAAAGAGTATAGATTTTTTCTGTTCATACGATAGATTAATGAAGAAGCTAACATAAAGCTGACAAAAATTACACTGTACTGATATTTTGTTTTAAAAAAGTTCATTAAAGAAGGAAACATAAAATAAAGTTTCTATTCGGTTTGGAGGCCCAGGGCAACTGTCCCGTTTGCCCTTGCCTCAGTCAGGCTCTGCTTGAGAGGCGATTCTCGGTCACCACTTGTTTTGATGCAGTATCTCGAGAGGTGATTCACGATCACCAATTCGGAGATGGTTATATGCGATAATTTAAAAATGGTTATTATATGCAATAATTTGAAGATGGTTATTTAGTTTTG